AACTTGGTACATAGATATTACATTACGCAGATCGTATTACTTTTACATTGCGCAGACCTTATTAGTTTTACACTTTAATGTGTTCATATTAGTTACCTTATTTGCATAATTAGTTTTCTGCATTTCCATCAATATCTCAAGTTCAAGTAATTTTGAATTAATGTGTCTCCAATACTCTCAGCACACGAGAGTTCTTTCTAAGCTTTCTTTGATTTAATATTCGATTTACTCAATGTTGCTCATGAAATTAGATTTTTTCGGGAGTTCGAACCAAATTCTAATTTCACACTATTGAGCTTGTTACTGTGTATGTGCAATGCATTGTGGGATAGAAGCTACCATTGAAATATAATGGAAACATTTTAAACACTGAAACTCCTTCAATTAGATTTTTGTTGAAATTATCTTGTACTTATATGATTGAATATGTCTTTTTCAATAAAGCACATTTTTGAGATGAAAATAAATCGGTATATATTTGATTAGTTCCCCCAATGCAAACAATGATATTAAAAATCTTTATTTTGCAATTTTCTATTTTTGCAAGTGTACACCATTAAAATCAAGGAACCTGAATTTTAAGTTCTTAGAATTTATTAGTCCTTATTCTCAAAATTTTTAATTCTGCAGTCCTTGGTATCAGTAGAGTAGAATGAAAACACTTTTATGAACAAAATGATGTTTTCTAATGACTGTAAGTCTAATCCAATACAGCCTGATAAGTTAACTACTCTTTGGCAAAACAATGCAGCTGTTTATTGAAAAAATGGAATAACCATTCAAATAACAGAATTCTCTACATCACATATACTGGTAGTGTCATGTCAAATTTGATGTAATAATATACTAGCATATTTAGAAATACAATTTTCTATCAGTATTAGCAATTATATTTTATGAAAAAAAAAATAAGTACTGAGGTAACCATACTTAAATATGAAAAGTTTCTATATTTTGTTCATTGAAAGCAGTGTGCAACATTGGTTACTCATGTCTTTAGTGTGCTTCATATATTTAAATTTGTCTATATTTTTAATAATTTGTGATAGCAAGTTATTTTGGAAAGTAGGTCTTGATGTAAAATGTTAATTTTAAAACATTTCAACAGAAAATATATTTCATCTTCCACAAGGCTGCTATCACACTGTTAACTTAATTCATGATTGGTGTTTTGGAATGTGCCTATCTGCCTATTTAAATATATAAATCATGCCTGCTAGTCCTAAGTTTTGCTATTCTAATTTTAAATGTTATATATAAGGGACGACGTCAAAAGATTAATGTCGGATTACAAACTTAATTCTTTTAGTTTTTTCCCAAAACTTTTTGCACATGTTCTTGTTATGTGCACTGTTGTAATGTAGCAAGTACCATATTTGCTCTATTAGAAGTGTATGTATGCTAATATCACTGCTATTTACATGCACTACTAATAGAGAAAATCACCCTTAATCAGTAACCCCTCATAGATATATGCTTAAATTTCATGAACTGAAAAATGTTATTGTCGCTATTAAAAATAAATTCAATATTTGTGTGTCTAATACCTAATCAACCAGACCTCCATTGCTACAGCTACAGTTAGGTTTCACATGCATTCCATTCAATGAGTGTTTTCATATTATACATTAATCATTTAAATCACATGGGAATAACTTACTGTGACAAGCTTGTTGTCACGCAGTAATACATTTATGATCTATATATTAATATTGATATTATTAATTTGAAAATTGAGATTGCATAATTGAATATTTTTCAGTGGGAAGTCTTGTACAATTATGTTGTACAATTATGTTGTACATTTATGTTGTACATTTATGTTGTACAATTATGTTTGTATAAACTTGAATTTATCTGTATAGAGTTGTTTTATTATATGTTTATAAAACCGACTTTGATGATTTATATCGTACATATTCTATTTATAGATAAATAATGCAAGCTGATTAAACACCAGTGTGCATCGAAGCGTCATCATTGAAATTAATCACATTGCAGTTTATTAAAAAGAAATTACATAATAATTGTATTGTTTATAATAATGACTTTTTTTGTTGTTGCTTATGTAGATTTTGACAATGACAAATATCTTGGACCATACGACTTGGAGCAGACATTAAAATGCATTTGTAGGGATGAATTGAAACAAGAAGAGATAAATGTCATAGTCAAACAGGTGAGCTTCTTTGTAGTGGGAGAACTAATAATTGAGTTATTATATTTCATTTTGTCACCGTCAATTCAAAAGCCACCATTAGTTATTATCTGATGTCCAGTTCTATGTGTGCACACTGATTAGTATTACTTTTCATCAAAGGATTGAATGACAGTAAGGCATGCATGGTTACAGTGGTCACACAGGAGCACTTGTGTGAATCTGATGACCAGTTCAATATGTGAATAGTACTTTCCATTAAGGGATAGTATGACAGTAATTAAGTCATGCTTGTTTACAGATGTAATTGATATGACACCTATCTGCTAATGTTCTCACTTCCTCTCACTATCAGGTTTTAATAGAAGCGGATGTAGATCAGGATGGTAAATTATCGTATATTGAGTTTGAACACGTCATATCACGGGCACCTGATTTCCTCAGGTGAGTAATGTGATCTGTATTTTAACCCAAAAAATTGTATACCGTCTGTAGAGAAGCAACTAGCAAATAGTGTTCACTTTTGACAGGGTTCACCTTTCACAATTCTCATATGTACTGAAGCAATAATTGGTTCAAATTCGTGATTGACATATAATATATTCCAGAATATTTAAATTCACCTTATTGTTTTGAGCAACTGACAGTATTGTCCTAGAAACCGATGAGCTGAAATTGATACAGGATAGCCGACTGGCATCAATTTATTTCTGTCTGTGCCCTTTTCTGAGATCTAGTTCATCTAATTGAGACATAGAGGATCCCAAAGGATTTATTAAACGAGTTTAGTAATTTCATATATTCCTAGCCTTTGGTGAGTGGATGAGCACCAGTGACTTGTAGATATAGTGCTGGACCTACTAGAGTGAAGTTTCAAATAAACCACAAAATTGAAAGCAAAAACTTTTTTTTTAACTGTTATGTAATAATAGTTTTTTTTGCCAATCTGTGATTAACATTGAAATTTACTTAAATTGAGAAATTTACGGTACCTAAATGATATAGCCTCCCTCATCCAGCACTGTGTTTCATTCAACTGTGTCTGTGTGGTAGCAGATGACATGTGTCAAATATCAAGACTGAATAGAAGTTCATCTTCCCAGCGAAACAAAACATTATTATGCATTATACTTTTTATTTCAGTATGTTCCATATAAGGCTGTGATGATATGGCTGCAACCAATTCCTACTGGAGAGTAGAAACATCGAACAGATAATCAGCACACATACTGGTACAACGTGATATTAACCTGGTGGAAATTGACTTGAATGATAGTCACACCATGGAAATATATACAGTATGTGTGCATGTGAAATGGTGACTGTAACCAGAAGATTTGGTAACACCATGTCAAAAAGAAGCAATAAGCTGGCTGTACCAATTAAATTCGCAACAGTCTTTAATATTAACGAGATATGCATTCTCAGCCACATGTTCAGTGCCTTTAATCGAAGTTGACTGGATCAGAATAATTCAACTGTGATTGTGATGTTTTTCTGACACATATGCTGTTACTTATACTTACATGAAGAATATAATTTGATGCAATAATATTGATAAAATGACTATGCTTGGTGCATAAAAGAAAAACAATATATTCTCAAAATTAGGAAATGCATTCTGTTCTTTCATAACAGTTTTCATCAAGTCTCATGATGCCAATGAACGTACTGATTTTATCATTGAATGACTTTATTAGTTAGTCCCCGGAGAGAGTCTGAAAACGGGGACTTATATATTGACCTCTGTGCATCCATGTGTCCGTGCGTGTGTGCGTCCGGACCTGTATCTTAGACATGTCTGGACCAATTGCATTCAAACTTCACACGTACATCATAATATTATACATATGCACATCAATTTGTTTCACGATCTGATTCAAGATGGCCTGATGGCGGCCATTTATGTACTGAA